AAAAAAAAAGGAAAAAGAAGGCATTTAATTTGGTTCAATTTAGCTTTTTTTTTTTTTTCTCTTTGCTAATATTTTGCATGCAAAAGAAAGAAGAAGAAAAAAAAAACAATAATTTTGCAACAAAATAAAACGAAAGTTTTTCATTTTCTTGGTGAAAAAAAAAAAAAAAAAAACAATCGACAAAATTTACTTTCACATTAACATATGCTCGGAAAAAGTAGACGAAAGAAGAAAATGAGAAAAAGTATACAAATCTAAAAACAGTTTAACATTTTTTAAGAAATTGAAGTATGATGATTTTGCACTCATTAATTATGAGATTTAACTTTAGTGAAATTTTTAAAATTCATGTTTCCGTCTCCTTCAAAATTCTTAAAAATATGCCAGTGCTGTTCCTAGCTCTTGTGGTTTTGATGAACAATTAACGGAAGAAGATAGAGATAATAATGATTGATCAAAGATGCATATTTCTTCTGCTCTTCTCAGGACATTGCTATTTGTCTATTTCAACAATATTTTTAAGATATTTCAGTGTTGAAGTTGTGAGAAAAAAAAACGAAAGATTTTATTTCATTTTTTTTCTCTTTTTTTTTTTTTTTTGGAAAAGCCTTGAAACAAACATCGCTATTTATCATTTTTAACTTTGGATGGCCGCCTTTTTGTTTTGTGCTTGGACGATTTTGAAAATAAAAATGAGAAAGAGAGGGAGAAAGCATTTTGAATCGGTGTGATATTTCAATTTTACGATTTAATTAAAAAGATTAAGAGGGATTTTCATCACAATGAATATTACGGTTGGCTTTTCTACCAGTATTGTTGGTTTCGAGAATCCTTCGAGTATATCTTGATTCTTTTATTAATAAAGTATTTTATTTGGGGTTTTTTTTTTTTTTTTTTTTTTTTTTACTATCAAATAAGTTATCTGAATTTTGTGATCAAATGATGGGAAATTTTTTGAATAATATTGAGAGAGAAAACAATCTTCAGTTAGTCATTTGTTTGAATTTTTGAATTAAATGTGACAGTTATCTTCACATGTCATCTTTACAGTTTCGAAGTAGTATGTTTATGTTTTATATTCCAATAAATTTCAAGCAAAATCAACTTCCTAATCGAAAAATTCCTTTTAAAATTCCATTCAAAACAATTCTGTACTCTTTCAAAAGTCCAAAATTTCGATTGAAAAACTAAATAATAAAACATTTCTTCACAATTTACTACCATACCAATTTTTTTTTTTTTGCTGCATAAATTGGTTCACTTCTGGGTAGGCATAAATTGAAGTCATTATTTCATTTCATTTCATTTCATTATCTCTCACTTGCTGTAAAAGTGAATATGAAAGTTACGGAAAAGCATAAAAATTTCTAAGATTAAAAAAAAAAAAAAAAAAAAAAAAAAACAGCTTAAAAAGAAAATAGTTTAAAAAATAATTTCATAAATTTTTGTTCGTTTTATGAGTCCGAAAAGCTTTTTACGATCGTTCGTTTTTTTTTTGTTTCTTACAATGAAAAAAAAAGTGATACGGTGGATAAGCTATCAGTTTTCTCTCTTTTTTTTTTGTAATTAGCATCCATTAAATCTATATTTTCTTCCTGAAATATATATTATTATATGTATGTATGTATGTATGTGTGTGTGTGTATGTGTGTATGTGGGTGTGTATGTGGGTGTGTACAATTTATTTATTTGTTTGGGAGGAATTTTTTAATGACATTATTCTAATGGAGGAAGTAAAAAGTTAAAAAAAGATCATTTTTTTCTTTTTGAAAAATTGTGCAGAATTTTCGATGAAACAAAAAAAGTCGGTCGAATTGCCCTTATTGCACGTAATAATTCAAAGAAGTTTTTTTTTTGTTTTTTTTAAAAAAAGAAAAAAAAAAAACTTTCTTTTATACTGAGAAAGTTAAATTTGAAAAATGATCATTTATCAATTAAGCAGAAAAGAGTCAAAAAGAAAAAAAGAAAAAAGAGTGAAAAAAATGCTTGGACCTCCCGGGAAAATATTTTTAGGTAAAATAGATCAATTAATTTTGTTATAATTTGCAAAATATTTAGTTATTCGAAATTTTTGATTGATTATATTTGATTTATTTATTTTTTTTTTTTCTTTTATTTTTTTGCTATAGAAAATGCTCTTTGCTTAAGAGCAATTTGTAAAAATTGCCAGCATAAATTGAAATTTATATCAAAATAATTCGTTACGAATTGAAAATTTTAAGATTGTTATCATCGTCAGAATTATCAACTAATATCAAAGCTATCAACTAATATCAAAATTATCAACTAATATCAAAGTTATCAACTAATATCAAAGTTATCAACTAATATCAAAGTTATCAACTAATATCAAAGTTATCAACTAATATCAAAGCTATCAACTAATGTCAAAGTTATCAACTAATATCAAAGTTATCAACTAATGTCGCATTTTGTGTCGTAATGGAAAGGGACAGAGAGGGAGAGGTTAGAAATGGATTTCACTTCACAACACCAAATATGTCATCATTCAAAGCTATTTAACATTTGCAACAAAATGACTGATTTGAAAATATTTGTCAAATATTATCATCATTCTTTTTTTAAAAAAAAAGAAAAATTAAAAAAAATGAAAATTAATGCAAATTCATTTTGCAATTTATTGCATTAAATAAATTTATTTGTTTCTAAATCATTTAGCCTTACTCCGAAAAAGTTAAATTTTCATAGCAAAGTTTTGCTTATAAATTTATTTTATAAATTTCGATTGAATTGGAAACTATTAGATGTTCGAAATTAACTTTAAATAAAAATTGAGAATTTTCAATTGGAATCAGATATTTATTTTACTTACAAGAAGTCTGTTAATTAATTCAATACGAAATTGATAATTAACTTTTAGCATAAACAACTTTTTAACGATTATTATTTGAATATAATAAGAGAATAGTTAGTTAGCTTAAACCTAATTAATCCTAATTGTAATTAATTTCTGTTTATTTCATTTCAGTTTGACTTAATTTAGTTCAAATTAAATTATAATTATTTCTCAATTTTCTTTTATTGATATTATGCTTACTTCTATGTAAAAAAAAAGCACTCAATTTTGTATTTATTATATTTCGCAGGAAGCGGGGGAGTAATGAAGAAGAGAGGTATCGTCTGATTGCTGTCATTTCATTTTCTTTTCTTTTCTAAACTTTTTCATCAAGAAATCGTATTAAGTTTTAATTCTTCTTCTGTAAACTTTTTGTGTACTTTTGGGTATGAAATAATTTCAGAATTATATGCGTGAAGTATTATTTTAGCCTGAAAATATGTAAAAAAGCAAAACTGAGAACAAAGGAAAATTCTGAAATAAATTTTTTTCCTAATGCTTAATGAAATATAGATTTCAAAAATTTCATCTTTCAATTGAAGTACAGTAATTTGAGCTAGGCTATTTATTGAAATGAATTCAATCGCATAAAAAAAAAAAAGTGAAAATTTGAAAATGAAAATTATTTGGAATTATTGATTAAATCGAAAAGTAATGCTATTGAAGTGCATGAAGGAATTACATTTTCGGAAAGAAATAATTTGATTAATAATGAAATGATGAATAAAGAAAGAAAATTTATGATATTTTGCTGTGTTCAGATAATTTTCATATTTCTAACATTTTTTGAATTAACAATTAAATGTAGTAAGTAATAATCAGAATCTCTGTGAAAGAAGAAAATACACTTTATTATGTTAATTCTTTCTTAGCCTTAACTTTTTCTTTCTTTTTAAATGTTACAAACTACATAAGTGTTCTCGAGAATATTTATAAACTCTCGATAAACTCATTTTGTGTTGTATGTCTCTGTGTGTGTGTGTATCTAGGGTACTCATTTACCTGAGATAAGTGGTGCTTATCGGTATCAAGGAACTACTTTAGTTATCACTATTGCAGAACAGTAATTTTTGACAATTTTTCATCGATTAATAAATTAATTGTCATTTATGTATGTGTCGTATGTGTATGTCTATGATGTGTGTGTGTGTGTGTGTGTGTGTGTATGTCTGTGTATGTGTGTGTATGTGTGTCTGTTGTTTGCCCACTTTTTTTTATTGCTGTCATAATAAATTATCTATTTCATGTATACGTGAAAATACGATAGTATCATGAAAATAATTTTTCAAAATTTTTGTTTTCTCATCAAAAAAAAAAAGTTTTTTTTTTCTGTTCCAATGTGAAAATGCATGTAAGAATGATACATATATCACATATACGTGTACATAAACGTTTACGTGTAGGTATTTGACAAACAACCAGTTTGAATTTTAGTTTTGAAATGATTGATGTTAAAATACCTCTTTTTTTTTAAAAAAAAAAAAATAAAAAGTAGGAAACAAAAAAAAAAAAAAAAGATTTCAAATTTTGTTTTTTATTTTTATAATTTATCAATAGCTATATTTAATAGTACGAGAATTTGCTACGAAATTAATTATTTTTGCAAAAAAAAGAAAACAAAAAAATAATTCAGCGATATTACATTCTATTAAAATGTTTAGCAAACTACCGTATGCTATTTGTACTACATTTGCAATATTTTATAATTTTATACATACTTTTTTAGACAATAATAATTTTACTTTGTATTTGTTTTTTGTTTTCTTTGTTATTGTTTATTTACATTGCAAAAATTTGAAATGAAAAGTAAGGACAAAAAGAATTAGATTAGATAACAGTGTAAAAAGAGACGAAAGAAGGAAAATGAAAATAAAACAAAAAAAAAAAAAAAAAAACAAAAATAATTATTGTAAAAAAAAAAAAAAAAAACAAAACAAAAATAATTCTTTATTGATCTGTTTTAGCGGCTATTATTCGTCGGATTTTATGGTCATTGAGAAATCCTAAGCTTAAGATTGATCTAAAGAATAATCAATGCGGCAACTTCTAACATCAATTATTTTCCTAAAATTTAATTACTTCTTAGCATTATAAGCGTAGAAATAAATAAAAAAGCATCTGGTATAATTCAAAAAAAAAAGAAATGAAAACAAAGTGTAAAGGTCATAGTATTTGTTATTTTACTTTATTTTTTTTCACCTATTTATTGGTTATTTCATTTTTTTTGCATCAATTAAATTAATAAATACAACTAAGTAACATATCGAAATGAAAAAAAAAAAAAAAAAATGTATGATAAAGAAGTAATTGAACAAATATTAAATCATAAGCTGTCATTTTCATACAGTTTGCTTAATTACATGCTAATTAATTATATCTTCAGGACATTGTGATCAGACATTGGATTGTCATTTATGTGGTATTTGCTCTGCAAAATTTTATAATGTTGAACGGTTCATTGAACATAAGAAAAATTGTTCAAATTCACACAAACAGGTTTGAATATTTAAACAACTTTTGGTAATAAAAATTGTTAATTTTTAATTCTTCATCAATCAGTTTTCATCATTTCATATTTCAATAATTTTTACTTCCGTTAATTTTCTTTTTCTTTACAGTATTCCAACATTTTCAAGAATATTTAATTTTGCCATTTAAACAAATTACATTTTTATTTTGCGTCCTAATACTATTTATTGCAAATGAGCATAATTTTTTTTAGCAAATAATTGTTTATGATTGTTTATTTCACTTGGAATTTCATTTACACTTAAATACGAATTAAAATAATATTTGATATTTTTTTTTCTGTGATAATCGAATAAAATTACAGAGTTCGGCAATAACATCAAATCCGGATGCGGAATCGGTACCAATCGATTTATCGAAAAAACATGCTTCAGATGATCTCGATAGAAAAAGTATTCTAGAAGACAAATCAAATTTGTTGTTTGATCCTTTACAAACAATACAATCTCATCAACAGGTATTATTATTCATTTTTTGAAAGTGCTGAAATGATTTCGAAATTATCGGAAGTGTTTAATTAGTGAATGATTTGATAAAGTTTTTGAGATTAAACAGCTGATACTATGAATTACCGCTGAAAGCTAACATTTAAAAAAAAGAAAAAATGCATCGTAATGATCAACAAAACTTGACCTCATTTTTTATTCTTAACAAATCTTTCAAGAGATTATATTTTACAGTATTGTCCTCATTTATGGACAAAATTTACAAATGTCCCATAGAACTAGCTGTCAGTCGTTTCATTATCCTTTGTTTAAATAGCAATTTCAAGTTAAACTATCCATCTATCCTATCTATCTATTCTTTGCTTACCACCCACTGCGTACCGTTCCGTTTCCGTCCCTTGCAATGCCGCGAGAAGCGATTTCGGCATTTCCTTTTTCCCTTCTCGTAATTATTACTAATATATGATTCTGTTGTTCAAGTGCTCCATTCTTTTTTAAATGAATGTAAAAAAAAAAAGACAGCTGTTGATTCTTTAGGAAGAAAAAAAGAAAAAAAAAAGAGAGAAGAAAAAATGTGATGTACTTTTTTCATTTTTGATACAAAGGGACTAAATGGATGATATAATTAATTACTTGAAATGACTAATATTTCCTTATCAATGCTATTTGTTGGAAATAAATAATAATAGTAGCAAAATAATAATAGTTTATCTCTTAACTGACATTTATAATTATTCGATATTTTAAAAGCAATTAATTAGCCAGGTTAAAAGTAATAACTCAAATATAATCTGCTTTATTTAATTCAAAACCATAGCTATTTGACATTGTAAACTTAAAATAAAGGATATTTCATTGTAAACTAGAATTACTAATTGAAATTACTAATTTTTTAAACTATGAAAATACCATTTGTTTGCAATAAATTTTTAAATTACTTTAATTACAATTTCTCAAATGTTAAAATTAGAACTTTTTTTTTCTTAAATTGCAAAATTTATAGTAAAAATTTACAAAATTTACAGCAACTATTGGAGCTTTATGCGCAATTGGCAGCAAGTCACAATAGGCACACAGATTCGGAACAAAGTAGCGATGATGGCGGTAATACTTCTTCATATGTCTTATCACCGCCATCTAGTAATGGTATCGCAGAGAAAATTCATCCTTGTGTTGCTGAACGATGTCCACAGGTTAGATTCTTAATTAATATTATTAAGGTATCTTTTTTTAATTAGCCGTTGAATACTAACAATCGTTTCATTTTTTATGATTTTCATCAGTTTTCTTTTGTTTTACTTTAATAATATTAATTACTTTAATAATATTAATTTATTATTTGTATTTTTTACTTTAATAATATTAATTGTATTTTTAAAGCGAATTTTCCTTCTTTTTTGAATAATGTCAAATTTAAATTAACATTCATATTGTGATAACAGTAATCTTTTTTGTTTTATCTTAATGATATAGCCGAATACATTGGATTTTTTTATATGGGAATTGTCAGTTAGTTAGAAATTTTCATTATTTTCCCGTTGGTAATTATTATTTTAATATTATTAAGTAATTACAGTATGATAATGATTTCTTTTTCAATGATTGTGAAAACTTTTGACTAGATGGTAGCAACAGGAATAGAATTTATAATTTCATACTTGAATTAGACTAATTAGTATTGGTAGTCAATTAGAAATGAAAAGAGTTTTCAAATGATATCTATATATAATAGCTACGTTATTCTAATCAAAATTACTAATTTGTCACCATAATATTGAAATTAATTACTGTAAATTTTTTTTTTGCATTAGAAAAATAAGCATATTTGAAGTGAAATCTTCAAATATATTTAATTGAATAAATTGGAGCTAAAATCAAATTAAAAAATTATAATATTTCCTAGCTAAATAATTCCTTTCATTCGACATAATTTTTATTCGTAATATAAGTATTTGCATTATTTTGCATAATTTTGAAAATCTAATTATTTACTTTCAACTTACGGTGAAATTCCAATTTTACGTATCATTGGTAAACAGCCATATTTTGAAATTTTTTTTTATAAAATCATTTTAACTATATTAAACTCTTTACTGATTTAGAAAAGTTAGTGCTTGTTGGATTAGCAGGAATAAGTTGGAATGAAATGAAATGGTAATTATTTGATTTCATTTCAATTTGTCTACGAAATATTCCAAAAACTTTATTTATAAGTTATATTGATCAGTTCTGCTCAGAAAAGAGAAATTATATTTAAAGTTGAAGCAATGAGAATTAGATGAAAATAAAGGGAAGGAAGAAGAAGGATTAGCTTTTAGTTAAATGCAAAAATAAATTGTTCTTTTTGAGTATGACGGTGTTTCTTTGATAGCAATATTTATAAGTTAGCTAATTAGCGCTTAATAATATTTGCATCATTTAGCTGATTAAGAATAGCTTAAATCTTTTATCATTTTATGATTTAATGTTTTTCTGTTTGTTTTTGTCTTAAATTAAATTAATAGCAGTTATATCTCTTATTTTTCTTGAAATTTTTTTTCTCAAAATGCACCATTTTAACTTAAAAAATTTTTGATAAAATTTGATTTTTTGACAAACTAATTTGAATAATTAAATTTATAACAAGAAAATGAATTTATAAACAATTAAAAACAACCAAATATACATATATATATATATATGAATATAATTCCTAAGATGGCATTTAAAAGTTGAAATGAATTTTTTAGGGAAACAAAAAAGTGAATTTTTATCCAATTAAATTTTTTTCTTTTTTTTTTTTTAAATTTTTTAGAAAGTATTAATGAGCAATATATTATAATATAGTTATAAGAACTTGGGAAGTAGTGAATATATGCACATTTAATGATATGTTTATTAGATAACTTCGGGTAAGAGTGCTAATTTCAATAATTATGACGATTTATGATGCCGATAATTATCAACATCGACAACATTGTTTCATTGCTATGTGTCGATAGAAACTATTAATTTCTTAGTTACCGAATGAGTGAGTAATAATTATGAATATTCATTGTACTTGAATAAAAGTTTTAAAATAACAATTCATATTTCAAAATTAGTTTAATCTATTAGTTTTTGTTTTCTCGATTTGCATATCGAATTCATTCAAATAATGTAAAGGTAGGTAAAAAATTTATAATATTCCATAAGTTTTATTTTAGAATCTTCAAAATTATATTATTTTATAATGAAGAATTTATTTGTATTTTTAACAATTTCAATTATTCACTACTTTTATTTCTCTTAGCTCTGATATTATCTTTAATCAGAATCATAAACACATATAATTTTAGCATTTCTCATCTCGTGGTGCTTTGCTGTGGCATATTCTTCGGCGACATCCCGGTGAAAAGCTTTTGCAATGTAAACAATGCGAGGAACGGTTTCCTGATCCTGAACAGGTGGGAATTGTTAACTTTGCTACCTGACACTACCACTATCATTGCTACCTTATTACCCATTATTTAACTTTTTCCTACCTAATATTAATATATTTTCCAGACTACAATTCGAAAAATTGTTTGTATATATGTATGTGTGTGTGTGTGTGTGTATGTGCGTGTGTGTGTATATATATGTGTGTGTATGTGTGTGTGTATGTGTGTGTGTGTGTGTGTGTCATTCATTTGGAGCAAAAGGTCGTTGCTACAACCTTATTCAATATTATTACTTTTATAATTATAGCCATCGCATTATTATTATTATTATTACCGCTATTATTATTATTATTACTATTATTGCTGCTATTATTATTATTTTTATTACTGCTGTGGTGATTATTACTATACTTACATATGAATTATTACAATTATTAGTTTTCGATTACATATATATGTGTTGTGTACACATATATATCCAACATTATATTCTGTCTATTTTTTGCTTATATATAATTTTTATTTGCAAAGATGAAGACAAAAGTTAAAACTAACAATAAAATCAATGAAATATTGAAAATTAGCAGTAAACTCTTTAGTTTACATTTATAGGTTTCATTTTAAGTTAGCACTTAAATACATTTGCCAAACTGCTAAACTTTTCAATGTTTGACAATTTTCATTCAATTCCGATCTGTCATCCTATTCTGATCATACTAAAGTGATACGATCAGTTTCAGTGATCGCTTATCGAATACATTCTTCTTCTTATTATTATTATTATCCATAATATTCCGTGGAAGAGAAAGTTCTATTTTCAGTACAGCTTCTAAAGTATTATCCGTTCTGTTACACTTTTTCGGTATTCTTAATTTCCTCTTTTCCAATTTTGGTAGTTGCACTGCTTTTTATTTATATATTACCGCTGCTTCTGACTTTTCTGGTTCCTTCACTGTTGAATTGTGGATTGAGCATTGCTTGCTCGTCTGCTAATTAACACAAGTAAAATTTTCGTTTCACTCTCGAGAAACGGTTTTCATCATTTAATCTTTATATATATCGCTTATAAAAATCCCTATAGGCCCTTGTAGATTTCAAATTTTGTTAATTTTCATGAGAATTTTTACATTTTTGTTTTGTTTATTTTTCTGCTTAGAATTATTGGCAGAAGGAAAAAATTGAATTTTTTTGTTTGAAATTTAGTAATGAATTGGAAATTGCTTTTTATGCTAGTAGAAACTACTCATTATCTATTCATAAAGGCATTGGATGCGTCATTGTTTCCCCTTTATTGACCTATTTTAAATTTTGTGTCTTTTTTTTTTGCGAAAAACGTCCATAATTTATACAATCATTTGAGGCTTCACCTCATCCTCTTTCTCTTTCACCGCCTTTTATCCATTCATTTTCTCTTCTTTCATCTTCGCAAAGAATAATTTTCCGTAATAATTAATTGATGATAAAAATAAATTGCATTATATAAATTTTATGCAAAGTTTCAAATAATGGCTAATACTTGGACACATCTAATGTAATTGTCATAAATTAAAATAGAAAATTTTAAGGGAAATTTCTCTGAAACAAATTTGACAATGATTCAAGCTATTGGTAATGAAATTAAATCTCGAATTAAGCTTAAAAATTATTTACGATAATACTTTTCTGTCATCTTCCCTTTTTCCATGATAATACGTCACTTTACTCACGTTTGTTGTCAGAAAAAGCTTGAAAACAACGCAATATTTTGCAGATACACGAGCATCGCTGTGACTTGCTGCAACGTAGTGCTTCCACAGGTGTCCTGGAACGTGGCACGTCACCAGATGCAGATCGTGGCTCGGTACCAGCTCGTTTGCAAACTTCCTACACGCTGGTAGCAAGAAGTCCGGATGCTATTGCAAGCGATCTGAACTATGGTGGCACGGTACCTGTAAATGCTCTAACGTCGGTTCCAGCACCTCCAGCTCCTGCACCTCTTTCACGAATGTTATTTTCGCAACTTTTTGGTGCACCAACTGCAACTGCAGTGGTTGCTGCAACAGCTGCTGCTACAGTCCCGTCAACGTCCGCTGCAGTGAAAGATACCGTATTGGATCTGTCCAATTCTGCACCAAACAAACAACAACCGCAGCAGCAACAATTCCTACCAATACCTGCTATTCCACAGCAATGTAACTTTATGATAATTTCAAGTTTGAATTTCTAAATAAAATTCTTTCAGTAATTTTGTATTCCCTTATTATTATTACAGTATGACGGATTCATTCATATACATACCTAAATGAATTCATTCAGTAGACTATAATATTCGTTAAGTTTCATCTTTTCTTAGTTATTATTACTTTTATAGTTGATTATTGTAGTAATGATTGTCATTTTGCAGTTATCAGGCCACCCTTCAGTTTTGGTCAATTTGCGGCAGCCGCAGCAGCTACACTACGTTCCGCTCCGCATCCCGACTTATTTCTAAACGGTCCTTCATCCACACCACTACTAAACAATGACGATGATTGGGAGGCATTAATGGAAGTGAGTACAACGGATGAATCCGAGAAAATACGGGCATTAGTTGGTGACAAAGCTTTACCAACAACAGATCCCAATCAGTGCTTGCTATGCAGACGGGTACTTTCGTGTAAAAGTGCTCTGCAAATGCATTATAGGACACATACTGGTTTGTCAATTATTATTTTCACCTACTAATTACAATTCTAATTTGTCAAATTGAAAAAAAAAGAAAATTCAAATTCAAATTGAAGTCAAAACATCGAAGTTTTTTTTATTGGATTGAAATGACCAACACTCCAATTACATAAATTAATTACTAATTTTAGCTTTGTTATTTATATTCATTTTTATGCATTGTTTATTAAATCATTTGAATATTTATTCATTCATATATTAATTAATTTTTCTATTTAATTTTATTTATTATTCGAATTTTTTTTTCCTTTTTCTTTTTTTTTTAGGTGAACGTCCTTTTAAATGTAAAATATGCCAACGAGCATTTACAACAAAAGGTAACCTCAAAACTCATATGGGTGTTCATCGAGCCAAGCATTCCTTTCGTGGACTTGCTGCCGCCACAACAAATGTCCACCATCAGTGTCCCATCTGCCAGAAACGATTCTTCACCGCTCATTTGCTTCAGCAGCACGTTGCACAACATACGAATCAGTCAAGCAGGTCAGTACAACTTTTCATGAAATATCCTTCCAGCAGTACTTCCTTACATTTAACTCTTCATTCATCTTTTTTTTTTCAAAATTCATAAAAGCAGGTGAAAGATTTTAATTTTTTTTTTTTTAAAAAAACAAATATATTATCCTTTGAATATTTGCATAACTTATCTAATATTTCGAATTAAAATTTGTTGAAAAAACCTCATTAATTGAACTTTTATTTTGAATTTAAACAAATATTGTTAGACATAATAGAAATTAAAAATGAAATGGGAGAAAGAGAACATCAAAAGCGATGAGAAATGAAAAATAAATGTGATAAACATAAAAATCATTCGATTCTTTTTTTTTTTTTTTGTTTTCAAGAAAATTAACAATTAAAGATTAATATTAAATAAATTCCTTCATATATGATTGTAGTATTAATAAATGGTACAATATCTGAAATGTTTTTAATAAAAGATTAAATTGTAGGAATGGTATTTTAACACCGTTTGAAGTACCAGTAGCTTCTACGCAAGGATTCGATCGACGTACTGAGCAACATCATCCACCTTCGTCAGCTCCCCCATCAAATGGGTATTCAGCTTTCTAGCTATTCAGCTTAATTATCCAGAAATCATTCTAGAATTTATTTCGGAGACATTTGTACACTTGAAAAATGAAATGCTTGAAAAATGATGATTTGAAGTGTTTGATTCTAAAATTATAATTATTTCTAAGACAATGAGTGACACCATAAATTGCATTTATTTCAGTACTTCTTCTATGCTTCAAGTAAATGCTGCAAATTTGATGTTACCTATGAAGAATGATCTTGTGTCAACACCATTCATGCCACCTTTTCCGTTCTTTCCGCTTGGTTTACCGCGTGGTCTTTCAAGTCCGATCGCTGCTTCCAGCGCACCTCAAACATCACTTGGATCAATGCCATTTACAATTAACCATCAAATTAGCCCAAAACAAGAAGGTAAAGTCTTTTCTTTTAATATAGATTAAATCCGTTGAACAACTTCAGAATACGAAGTCTCGAAATCAAGCAATTTTGTAAATTTTATATTACTGAAAATATTTCTATTCCAGAACATCAACACCAACAACAGCAATTGCAACACTCGATAAAATCGGAATTATTACAACTACCATTACCAGTAACCACACGGCCGGAATCACTACCGACCGCACCGTTACGTCTAGAAACTTCACCAACTGTATTTAGTCTATCCGGAAAATCAATCCATGCTACAAAAGATGATGATGAAGTAGCTTCAACCAGTAGCTCACATAATGGCTTATCGCTACCGCTGATAGCAACAGCATTATCAGCAAACACAAATGATCCGGTGGCAAACTGCACCGCCTGCTACCAGTTTTTCCCAAATCAGATTGCACTAGAACTACATATGAGGTAAATTTGAAAAATTTATGCGAAAAAAGATTATTATTGCAAAATTTAAAACAATTTGACATTTTTCATAATTATCTTCTGATGAACTGCTTTAAATGCGATAAGTTTTAAAGGCATTAAATGAAAATTCAAAGTTATTCTCGACAAAAGAAATTCTTTTGCCTCATTTTTGAACTTTTCTCATCAAGAATTATTTGATTCTTGATGAATTCTTGAGGTGAAATAAAACAGTGTTTCAAAATTTCATAAGAAAGCGACAGAAAACGCTGTATACACAAATTAAAACTGTCAAAGTATCACAAAGTATCACAAAAAGTTTTGTTTATGTAACGATGTATTTTTGTTGGAAATATTCATTAAAATAAATATAAAAAGAAGTATTAAATACGGAAAAATGATTGTAATTGTAGAACTCATTGTGAAGATACTCCATTGAAGTGCTTCATTTGCGGTACCACCTATACGACAAAAGGTAATCTGAAACGGCATATGTCATCAAAACATCAAATTCATTATCCTTGTTCACCGGATGCCAACTCTAATAACAGTGATGATGATGATGACGACGATGATGACGATGATGATAATGATGAAGATGATGATGACGATGAAGAGGAAGATCATGCTTCATTTACTCAAGCTGGAAATGAACAGTATGTATATTTTATAAAATAGCATTTTGTTTGTTGACATTGGTATGATTATGACTGAGTAAAGTTCCGAATTTTACTTTGAAAAGGAATGAAGATATTAAATTTCTTTCGTTTTTTAGTACACATTTTTTGGTTATCTTCTTTCAGAATGGATACCTTTGAAAGTCAACATGGTATATCAGAATCCACCGATGATGACAATTCACCAGAACAACAACAGCAGCAACAAGAACAACAACAAGAGGAGGAGGAAGAAGAACAGCAGCGGAATGCGGAAACTTCGGATGATAAGCCGTCCCCGACATCGTCCGTGTCCGCTGCAATTCCTCCACCTCTCAGTAGCACACCGAATCCTTTAGATGCAATGCAGAAAATGTGGGCGGAAACTGAACCACCACCTCCGCGACAAGCTCCTGTACTGTCGAAACACCAATGTGGTGTATGTTTCAAGCACTTCAGCAGCAGTTCCGCATTGCAAATTCATATGCGAACTCATACCGGTGCGTTGGGTTGCGTTGTTGATAACTTTTTCTAATTTCTTTTATCTGATCGTTCAGTTTTGCTTGAATTTAACAATTTTTTATTGCAGTATAATATTTATTATAATACATGTCGTAATATTTTAGAAATTGTTTGTAACCAAATTTGATTTAGGTGACAAACCCTTCAAATGTGAAGTATGCAATAGAGCGTTCACGACACGTGGCAATTTGAAGGTACACATGGGTACCCATATGTGGCAACAAAGTCCGTCCAGGAGAGGTCGTCGGATTTTTGAATTTGGTGCCGACAATATCTTGCGGTCAGAGTTACTACCAGCATTCGGTTTAGGTGCCGAAGGTGCATTTCGTGTCGGATCTTTCGATCCAAAAGTTAATTCATTGCGCTCCGGGAGATTTGGCTTAGATTCACCATCATCGCAATCTACTGCTATACCTCCTGCACCGCCACCACCACCATCACCATTTTCAGTTTTACCTTTTCCCTTACCACTTCTACCACAAGTAAGCAATGCCGGTGCTTGTACTCCAAATCAAATGGATACTGTGATGTGGATGTGGAAAACGGTTTGTTCGGTGTGCCAAAAAATTTGTGCTTCTCCGCAAGAACTTGAAAAGCACCTGAAACAACATTTAAATGGTACCTTACGTACCGATAATACAAATACGGCGAAAGTTACCCCATTGTTACAAAAAACCGAGTGATAATAATTGTGATTAATATGATTATACAGGTTTTTTTTTTTTTTGTTTGAAATTCTGTGAGAAAACTAAATGGTGAACTTATAAGCTTTACAGCTAATCTTTTCGTATGGAAATTTGTTAAATTTTTGACATTTGAATTTTTTCAATTTCTCTACAATTTAAATGCATTTCTCTTTCTCTTTTTTTTTTTTTTTTTGCATTAATTACTCCTTATTTTTTTTAATGAAATGAGCTATATTTTAAGCAAAAGCTAATTATTTACTGTGAATCCATTTGTTTTTCTTTTGTTCAGAGCAGTTAAATCCTAATCCATTTCTTGCCAAGTGATCTAAAAAATATAAATTGATTGATTTTAATTAACAAATAGTTAATGTTTTCTAATTAATAGTAAAGAAGAGAGCAAAAATTGTGGCTGTAATAAAACAAATTAGAATGTTTTGAATTTGACAGAAAAAAATTATCATTTCTTTTTGCAATATTTCTCAGCCCAATGCCATCGATATCCGATATTTTCCAAAGTTTTATTTATCATTTAATTATTTTTTTTTATCGATTCTATTAATATGATTAATGTATTTTCATGTTAGAAATAATTGGTTCTCCCTTTTCTAGAATATTACAATTTTATAAATTTGTAAAGTGGCGATCTTCTCCTTTAACATAAATGGTGATAAATGTATATTGGAAGGCTTTTTGAATCATTATTGCCCTTTAACCTTTATCGTTGATCCTTTTTGCAGATTATATGAAATTTATATTCATTTCCTAAATGAAAATTGCTTGGATCAACTTCGAGCTTTGTTAAAAAATTGTTAGCATAATGCTTCTTTTATCTTAGCTATTAATCAAATGAAATAAATGGGCGATATATGTTCAGTCCTTCTGCGCATATTTCCATTTGATCTGAGAAGATCTCGAAAGCTTTAAATTAGATGCCATTAATAATAAGCAGTAATTGTTGACAAATCTATCCATTTGCAAAAAAAAAGAAAAAAAAAAAAAAAAAACTAATCAATAATTGTTGTCATCTTTTATATCATTTTAAAGCTGGACGAAATGATATTTTAGTTAAAGCAAAGTAAATACTATCACAATATAAGCAGAAGAAAAAATTCTGATTGCTAAGAACGAACATTGTAAATTAATAATATCATTGAAATTTTCATTTCATTTCATTTCGTGATGTATTTCTTTGTCACTTTCTATCCTGAAAGCTATTGTTGTCAACTTTGGCATTGTCACTCTATTATTGCTTTGGTTTTGTGCTATTCTGTTATGTTTGCCATCGAAATTTTTTCTTTTTTTTTTTTTTGCTTTTAGATGCTTATTTGTGTTAATTGAATTTCTTTTTCTTATGCTCTTCCGGAATAATCAGGAAAATTTCAGCAAAACGATGAAAGATAGAAATGAGATAGGAATATTACTGATAAACAGGAAAATGATCAAATTGAAATATACATGGAAAATTTTTATGGCATAGTTGCAGCAACATCAACAAATTGTTAATAAATGAGATAATTGAAATTTTTTTTTTTGTATAAAACAATTCATTAAATAGTTCAAAGTAACCTCAAAAAAAATTTTACAAATTTCTTTTTTATTGTCATTTTTTGGAATGGAAATTTTCCAAAAAATCTTACTCAAAACTTCTTTTTTTTTTCGCTAAATAAATATTAAATTCAATTGATTGTTTTTGCAAAGAATTATTTAGAAAAACAAAAAAAAAAAGACTTGAACTTTTACCGTGATATTTCTCCGAACCCACTGGTATTTTGTTACCTTGTATTAAGTAATTTATTACCTTGTATTAAGTATATGATCGCATGTTATTGCCAAATTATAATTACTGAATTTGAGCTTTCTTCCTTTTTTTTTTCTTTTTTTTTTTGAACTCATTTATCCTGAAAGATAAAGTGTTCCCAACCAAGAAAGTGTATGATTTCTGGTTTCACCATCCGTTTTCTTGATCCGTAACCGCATTTGTCATTCTCATTATTAATTGAACCAATTATTATGGCGGTGAATAATTGATACGGTCATAAACACATATTATTGTCTTTTCTTTGACAAAATTGAAAAATTAAAATTATTCAAATATTACTGAGCAATGCGTGTGTCTGTTCTATAAATGTGTGTGTTTCTGTGAATTTATATTCTTCAATTGATTAATATTATTTTATTAATCGAAATTTTCTATTCCTAATTTTTTCCCTTTTGTTTTTTTTTTTTTTTTTTGTTATTAAATGGAAACAAAAATGCTTAAAAGAAAGATTTTTGTTTCGTGAATGTAAACACACACTAAGAAAATAATTTAGAAAAAATGAATTAATCAAAATGAAGCTAATAATAATAACAATAATAATAATAATAATAATAATAATAACAATAATAATAATAATAATATTTGAAATAGAAATGACAAATTATTCCTTTTTTGCCACAGCCCAGAAAAAAAAGAAAAGAATTCGTTCTTTGCTATCAATTTTGATCATAAAATTTAGGAAAAGGAAAGGAAAAAAAAAGAGACAGAAGGAATTTATAAGATTGGTAAACACTATATGATACAGTATAATTTGAAATGAGTCAATTTTGATGTTAAAATTTCATTTCTTATTCAAATTTATTCATTTTCAATAATTATTAATTTTGACTTTAAAATATCAAATAAGCGAAAAGCAGTGAAACATTTATTTCTTCGTTTTTTGTAAATTTTTGTTACACTATGGCAATAGAAATTTGTTAATTACAATATTTCGTTTCCCGGTCAATCAGTGATAACGAATAATCATTAGTTCAGTTAGTGTTATCATTAATCAGTACGACATACTACCAATTCATTCATAGCTTTGATGGCTGAATAAATAGTCATTTTGCTCGAATGCTATTTAATTACTCTTATTTAATTATATCTGATTTTCATTTCTAATTTCTTGAAAGAAAAAAAAAAGGAAGGAAAAATTCAGGACAAATTCCTTCTCTCAGCTTTAATTACAAGTATTTTGATGTCATTGGAAAAATTTTTTCGTTAAAATTTTAACAATTCTAAAAATAATTCATAATTCAAAAATAGAAAAAAAAAAAAAAAAAAAAAAAAAAACAGTTAACTGAAATCATCCAAAACTGGAAGAATCAATGGAATGCTAATGGAACTATTCAAATATGTTAAATAGCTTCTGAAAAAGTTCTTCAACGACAATTCAAAATGTAAAATTATATTAACGCTGAAGTTATTCTGATTTACCGCTTTGTTATACTTTCAAGTGGGTGTTATTTGCAATATTCAGTGAATAATTCAATAAATAATATTTCCAGTTTTTCAAGAAATATTTTTCTCAAATATATCATTTTAATTTGTAATAATTTCACTTTCAATTTGACTTGTTTTGTCAATTTATTGTTGCTTATTTCGTCAAAAGTTTAACTTATAAAATTTGATTTATTGCAAAGAAAATTATAAAACAAAAAGAAGAGATAATAGCTTTTTTTTTTTTTTTATCAAATTGCATAACTTTGAAATTTACAACTTTTAATACAAAATAATAATAATAATCACTCAGTTTGTTTTATCAATCTCAAAATTTTAAGAGTTTCATTATTAAATTTGTGTGATAATTGAACAATTCATATTTCTCGAGAAAAAAAAAAGAAAAATAAAAACAATGTTTAATGGTGTGTGCTATGCAATTGTTTTAGAGTTTATATGGAATAATGATGAATAATTTTTAAAAATTAAAATTTTTGACAAGATCATGTAATGTAATTATTTATAATTATTGTCTCATTTTATAAATTGAACTCAAAATTCTAAATTTCGCCGAGATTTTGCTGTCCAAAAAATTTTTATAATTCTATGATGCTATAGTATTATTATCAGAAAGTATTTGTACAATTTAATTAATCAACCCGGAAACAGTTGCCAGTCCGGAAAATGGAGATAGAGATGAGTGTTTCGAGAACAGCAAAGAAGTGCACAAAGATTGATTGACGGAACATTGAAGATATCAGTTTTAATTGTAATGAAATTACGACATTTCTTCAATTTCACTTTAGATGAAAATGTTGAAGTGTAGTAATAATTAAATTATTATTGCACTTAGATACTATCTTTTCTGACTTTTTATTTTTTTTCTTCAATGACACAAAACTTTTGTATTTATATGTGTGCTTTGTATTTACTGTCCTACATTTATTATTAATATTATTACTATTATTATTATCATTATTATTATTATTGTTATTATTGGCTATTATTAATTATTCATTATTGTTATTATTTATTTATTTATTATTAATTATTATTGTTATTTATCAATATTTATTATTATTAATTATCATTCATTACTGTTGTACTAATGCTTCATTTTTTCAAAAAAGAAAAAAAAATGACTTTATTGAATGCAAAAATTGCTAACTATATGATATGAGTAAGCAAAGGTAAAAATAAATATGTGAAATTGATATTTTTACAAAAAAATTAAAATTGGTAAATAAGTAGAATAATTTGAAGCTAATTTAGCTACAAAGTAAGTTATGAAAAGTAAAAAAGAAATAGCAATAAAAGTAAGAGGAGCAGAAATTCTTCAATTATTAGGACAGAAATAAATTTTTGAAAATTAATATTTGTTGATTAGCTAATAACTTTATATGCTAACTTTTTTTTTCTTCATTAGCATAACAACTTTAATAAATAGCATAATTTAAATGTAAAAATGACAAAATTTTTTAGTGCTAATATTTAATAATTAAATTTTGTTTAATTTCATTCTTCTGTTTCTTAAAAATTAGTTTCAATTTTTCCCTAATTGCTTACTTTTCCATTATTGAAAATATTATTATTTCAATTATCTAAAGTAAAATAGAATCATTAAGAATGTATAATCTTGTGATCTGACATGCTATGCATAACTTTTTTAAGCATATGACATTATATGGAATATATGACATTATAATTAATTAAATGGAATTATCATATTATCACCTATTATCACTTAATCAGTTTGGTTAGTTTGAAATAATTATTCGACGCTCCTATTTTAAATTCAAATTAATTTTGTTCCAAAATTTTCGAATTTGAATTAAACTCATATATAATTGTTTTTAGGAGGATAAATACTTTATTAAAACGAATATTATGCTTCAGAAAAAATTCGAATTTATCCATTTTTTTTTCTCTGAAATCTAACTTCCTAATTTAGGGAAAGTTGAAAAAAAAAAACAAATAAATTAAATTTAATACTGAATAATTCAAATTTAGAAATAAGCAAATGTTAATGTTATGTGATTTATTAAAGAAATTAATGGGATATTTGTTGGAATAACAAAGATATAAGACGAAGATCGCTGTAAATTAATCATTTTCAGTCTAAATGCTATTTGAATTAATGCACTAAAGATGATAATTTAGAGATTGCCATGATTGATAATAAATGAAATGATAATGTGATATTTTGGACAGAGAATGAGTGTGATATGATTATCAGTGTGATCAAGTATGTGGGAATATTTATTTGTATCATAAAAATTTTACATGCATCTTTTTATAGATAATGACCGAGATAAAAGGAAAGGATTGATCAGAGTCTCGAGATAAACTTATTACAATTGTGTAAGAGGTGGGTTTTGATCACTGAGATGATTGATTTGAAAATGATATCAATTGTTGAAATATTAAATTAAATTTTCGATAGCAATAATCATTTTTTAAATTTGTATATTAATGAAAAATGTTTATAAATTAACGATTAATCAACGATTAATCATCATTCATCAATTTATAAGTAAAATAAAAAATGAAATTTAGCAAATCAAAAAACTTCAAACTTCACATATTGCAATATCAAAATGAAATCTTTACAATAATTATATTATTTATATTTCCTCTGCTATTTATTACGTTTCTTTAATTACTAATTAATTAGCAAAACTGGATTTTCTAGTTTTATCATCGTTTCAAAAATTTTTGAATGTACATTTTTCAGAGATTATTAATTTTTATATATTAAATAGCACATGGGTTACTTGCATTTTTTCTTTTTTTTTTTTTTTTTTGATCCTATTTTTGATACATTAATAGATCTATCGATTTTTTCAATTTTTAATTTTTGTTTTGGAAAATTTTTTTTTTTTTTTTGTTAATTGTATATTTGCAGCAAAACAATGTGTTATTTTTAAAATTTTCCTTAAAATTTTTTTTTAAATTTGGAAATAGTTTATTGGAATTGATTGCAAATTAGTTTAATCCTTTTCATTTTAGCAGTAATAGTGTTGAATTTTATTTTGTTGCTAAAAAATTTTAAATATTTGTTAATTTTTGTTTTTAAAAGTTTTTTTTTTTCGGTGATGGGTTGATTAGATTATTATGGAAAGACAACAAGAATCCATAAAACCGGTTTGATGTTAATACTAAAATTCTTTAGAAGATGTCACCTAGATCAATGATTTTCAGTGGGAATTCAACAACAATAATAACATTTCGCCATTCGGACTTTTTTTCTTTTTTTGATTCATAAATTTTTAATTAATTTCAAAAACATAATACTTACACTTAGATATTTTATTAACTATTAGTTCTAAAGAAAAATTATTTTCAAACTTTTGAATTATGCAATTGAAAACAAAATAATAAATTTAGTAATAAAAGTAAGTGAAAAATGAAAGAATTATATCGTTTTTTTTTTTTTTTTTTTTGTTCAATTTTATCCTTTGCCATATTTCATATCAATTAACTTTCAATTACTGCAAAATATAATTTGCATAGAGTAATGAAAATTGTTTTTATTAAATTAAAATTTCAACCATTCTTCTTCTCTTTCCTTTTAAAAGAAACCAGCTAACAAGCATATGATTTAGTTGAAAAATTTTATTGAATAAGAAGGACAATGTATTTTAATCGAAAGAATTATTTTGTTTCTTCACTGTATCAGAAATATATCAGAAATATTTTTAAAAAATAATGAAATAGCGATTAGCTGTTAAAATTCAAATTCCAATTATTGCTTAAAAATATAATCAAATTATTTATCTCATTTGTTATCTAACTTAAGATTGATTATTTATTTTAGTGATTGAAATTTTGATTGATAAATGTATTAGAAATTATGTTAAAAATTAGTTTCTTTTTCAATTTCTGTCATTTTTTTTTTCTCAAGCAAATTAGTTTATTTGATTTTTCACTTACTTTTTCTTATAAACTCAAGAAATTAAAGACAATTTGATGTTGTGCTAGAAAAGTTCAAATTAGAGAACTTTTTCTAAGGATTACACTCAAAGTAATTTACTTAAAGTTATCTCAGATATAATTTATTTTGCATATTTGTATATTCATATATTTCAGAAGTAAAAATAAAAGTTCTTTTAAAATTAATGTCTTTGAGTTAATTTATTCGATTAATATTAGTTTGCTCAGTTAATATACTTTAGATTAATTACTGATTCTCTCTGTTAGTGTAGAAATCTATTTTCGTTTAACTTTGAAATTAATTCCAATTGATTTTATTTTTTGCTTAACTTTGTGATCAATTCAATGCGTTCATTTTTAACTTAATGACATAATATGAATAGTTATTATGCCTGTTTTTAAAGAGAAAACGAAATTTAATTGCTGAATCAAAAAAAAACACAAACAATTTTTATGTTAACAAATAAAAAGTAAAGAAATTCAATTTTTGGAAATTAATTTATTTTTTAGGATTAAAAAAAAATATGAAATTGTATTCATACTATTCAGTAATTTTTTGTTAGCTTTTTTAAATGCATTTAAAATACAAAATTTTTATTTCATTTCCGTAAAAAATTTTCCTTTTTTTATTGTTAAAATTTTTATTCACATTATTTTAAATTTGTTTTCAGGAAATTATTGTAAAAAAGTGCAATTCAGTAAATTATTGGATATTACGTTCTAACCTTGTTGAAATTTATTTTATATTTTATTTTACATTTTCCTCCTTGTCCAATGCCTCATTCCTAAATTCTATTCGTCCATAAGTTCAATTTTCTAATTCAAAAAACTTAAAATATTTAGACAGTTTTTATGAGCAGAAAGTTTTGTATGGATGATCAAACAATTCACAAATTACCTATCAAAGAGAAAATTTACATTTTGATGAACTGGTAAGTAATATTACTTTACTATTACTTAGATAAAGTAAGTAGCAATGGTAAACAGTCGAGAATTAAAAATTGTTAATTACTTTCTTAATTAACATTTGCTTATATAACATTTGCTTTTACATTTATCTATTAAGTATCCATTTAATTCAATTTGATCTCGAGAATCTCATCAAATGACCTATAAAATCCAACATTTAACTGTTTTTTTTTTAAAAATTTTTTCATTCATTGCATAAATGCGTTTACTTATTTATTTTACCAAAATGAAAAATTTTCGAAAGCAACGATAAATGGAAGAGTATGAATAAAATAAAAAATGCTTTATTGATTAAATAGTAATTGCAGAAGAAAATCAGATCAAAATGATCATTCATATTCATTCAAATCAATAAATTAATTTTGATTCATATTTTTATGGCAGGAAGTGAGTTATCGGTTGAATTGAACAACGGAATAAGTAATATATCAATATTCTACACTTACATTTAAGGTGTAAAGTAATCCTTAGGTTAGTTTACAATTTCAATTATAGCAAACTGAGCTGATTTTTAAGAGAGAGAAAAAAAAAAAAACGAAAAATGGAATCCTGCCAATCTTTACAACACATATTGAATACCTGGGATGATTTATATCATTTCCTGCTTATCACTCTTGGCAAACTGATAATGATATCACGGCAACCACTTAACTTCTTGCAAAATGCAACATTCGTCCATAACTTTTGGCTTCAAATTAATAGCTAGCAAATAATTTGTAGCATGGCCTGGTTGTATCCAACTTTATAGATGATAACTTTGATGGTAGTTAATCTTTAATTAACTTTATTGTTTACTGAACCAGTAAAAAAAAAATCATTAATTAATTAATCAGCGTGGCAAATGTTAAATTTTTATACTTCATAAAATGTTAGCTAAATTTTAGAAATGTTTCTATTACTACTATCAGTATTGATTCCTACAGTTTGCTCAATACTACAAGTACAGGTATCAAATATATCTTCACTCATCTTGAATTAATTTTTTTAATCAATTTCATATTCGAGTTAATATTCGAGAAACGTGTAATATATTCGAGGAACGTGTAATTCGTGTAAATAAATAAATACACGTTATATTTAATTAGATTTGATAAAAATTTTATAAAACATCCTTAACTTACTATTATTTTTTCGAAAGATCAGAAAAAATACTTTGTATGGATAAGTTCCATACTTTAATATACTTTGATTTTATTTTTTCAATAAAGACTAAAAAACTTTTTTGCTTCTTTGCTGTTTCATTTTAATTAATCAACAAATTAAATCATAAATTATCGGAAATTCACAGCGGAATGAGCGACGATTCTACGATCAGTTAGATGGTTTGTGGACATTTGTAAGGGAAAAGAGGAATTCACCTTCCGTAGGTATAAATAACAAATGGCATTTGTTCGACTTGTCGCAATTCGAGGTATTGCTATAAGTTTGGCAATTTAATAATTATTATTTTAATTTTTTGCTTTATTAAAGTAATCCAACTTGAGAGAGTTCTTTTTTTTTTTAGTAGCCCAAATTCAGAAAGTTTTGTGAAGTAGCTCAGCTTCAAGTAGCTCAATTTTAGTAACTCAACTTTAGAGGGTTTTGAGAAGTAGCTCACCTTCAAGCAGCTCATTTTAATAACTCAACTTTAGAGGGTTTTGAGAAGTAGCTCAGCTTCAAGTAGCTCAATTTTAGTAACTCAACTTTAGAGAATCTTGAGAAGTAGCTCAGCTTCAAGCAGCTCATTTTAGCAACCCAACTTTAGAGGGTTTTGAGAAGTAGCTCAGCTTCAAGTAGCTCAATTTTAGTAACTCAACTTCAGAAAGTTTTTAGAACGCGACTGTGATGCCGGTTCCAGCAGCTTATAATGACTTGACAGCAGATCGTGAGGTACGTGAACACGTCGGTTGGGTTTGGTATCAGCGTAGCTTTTTTGTCAGCGTACGTGACAAGTCATATCGACATTTTGTTCGTTTTTCAAGTGTGCAGTATTATGCAGTTGTCGTAAGTTGATTAATTTGCATCAGTAATAGTCTTTATCCCCAAATTTTCGTATATCGGAGATTATCACTCTAATTGATCACTTAATGTTATTTCGATGACCTACAAATGTCGGAATGATTTACTTCAGGAATGATTTGAATCGATAAGTTACGAATAACTAAGAAAAAAAAAATTACACACAAATGATGCGTGATTATCTGTTTATCCAATTTGTTAAAAGAATTCAATAAATAAATTTAAAAATTCAGTTTATAAACGATAAAATTGTTGGCATTCACGTGGGTGGTCATCTACCGTTCGAGATCGATATCACTTCTCACGTGTCGTTCGATAATGAAAATCGTCTCACCGTAGCGGTGAACAATACGATGACCTCAAGGACAATACCACCCGGTGAATTTCGATACATTCAAAAGAAATATGGTGAAAGTAAACAATATCCCGATGGGTTTGTTATTTTTAGAGAAACATTCCTACCAGATAAAAATGTTAAAATCATTAGCAATTTATTTTAATTTTGTTCAATAGCTAGCTATCAAGAAGTTTTTTAAAGTTTTCAGCAATTAAAATGAAGTGATTTCCATTTTAGTCATTTTATGTAATAAATCAGAATTCAAATTGCATTTCTCAAATTAAAAAAAAAAAAAAAATCTACAAAATTCATAAAAGTTTATAGCAATTTTATAAGATAAATATGTAAATGCAAATTCAGAATAAAGTAAGCAATATGATTACGATATTCAATCCTATCTTCAACATTTAAATTTTAAACAAAATCCAAATTTTTTAAATTCAGTTATAATTTTTCAGATTTTTTAAGCAGACGTGGAATTTTGATTTCTTCAACTATGCTGGAATACTACGACCCGTTTATATCACGCGGAAGCCATTCACATACATTAACGATATTAGTATTGATGCCAGAGCAAATGGTAAAAGAAACAGTTCAATCGGAAATTTTTCTGAGAATAAAATTTAAATTAAAGTTAATTAAAAAAGCCTTCGGGAAAAGTCACTGATTATGAAAATAAGTTTTGTTTATAAATTCATATCTATTAATTAAAGAAGCTAACCTAGCATTTGCTAAAATTCCATTATAGGTTTTACTCATGACAATTAGTTACAGGATTTTTCGGTTACAAAGTAAATGTAATATCGAATACTCAGTTTGGACGAATTCAGATTACAGTACTGGATAAATACGGTACGGTGATATTTGAAAGTAATCGGTATCATTATACCGGTCATATCAGTAATATCCAACCGTGGTGGCCACGTGATATGGGAGCTCCTGTTTTGTACAATTTTGTGGTGAATTAGCTATGTATTATATTCGTTTCATTTCATTATCTCGTAACGACTACTTTTAGTCAAATATATTTTCTAAAGATAAAATGCTAATGGTTAAAGTGGTTAATAGGATATCTGTCACCTATCGCTTGAGAAAAGAGAAACCGGATCAGGAATACATGTTGCAGAAATGCATAAATTCCTACCTTACTGCACTGAATTGATCCAATGTTAGTAATAATTATACTGTTAATAATGTGGTACCTAGTGATAATCACATTAATTAATTTCTCATTAATTAATATTGCTATTTTCAAGCAAATATATAAAATTATTAATGACTTTTTAGTTAATACATAACAATTTTACAACCTGGAAAGCAGAAAAAAAAAAAAAAAAATGAAATCATACAATGAAGACACAAACGGAAAGTGAATTTCCAGGTTCGATTAACAATCTCAAATATTTTAATCGATGTGTATCGTTTACGGTTCGGTTTCCGTACCGTAAGTATTTCGGAGGATCAAACATTCATAAATGGAAAACCATTTTATTGCCATGGTTTTGGCATGCATGAAGATTTCGAAGTATGTTTGCTTTAATTTGTAATGATAATTTTACTACATATAACTTCGAAAGAAATTTTAACATTATCTAACTATAAAATATCAATAGGTAAATTTGTTGCTATTTCTAGATTTATGAGATTAATTACATTTTGATTGCGGAAATTAAGGAAGGAAAATTTGAAAAAATTTATTTGAGACACCTTTAATGATTATCTAAGATATTCTTCGAAATTTTGCGCTGTTGTAATAATGCAAATTTACTTAATATCAATAATGTTTGTAATAATTGCATGCAACGAATTAGAACTAAGGACAGAAATTTAAGTATAAATTTAACTTTTGACAGTAAAGCCAAAAATATATAACTGGAAATATGATCAAGTTGAGGAATAATAATAATAATTGTAATTACAATAATTTCAATGAAAATCTTACATTCTACCAGGTTTCAGCTTCATGGCCGTGGTTACAATCCGGTTGTAATGACCAAAGATTTAAATATGTTGGAATGGATGAGCGGTAATTGTTATCGTACCTCACACTACCCGTATAGTGAGGAAATGGCTTTTGAAGCTGATCGTCGTGGTATTGCTGTTATCACTGAAACACCTGCTGTTGGATTAAGGCAAATTGAAAATTAATTTCTTTTTTTTTTTTGACTCTCGAAACTTTGAAATGAAAATAAAAATCAAAATATCAGATGTGTAATTATACCATAAAATAATACTAAGTGATTTACTATTTTTGTATAAATATCTAATCTGATAATCAGTCTTCAATTTTAACAAGTTAACTTACTTTTAAAGCAAATCATTAGAATTTATATAAAATCGATTTTCTCGGAATCCTTTTAAGGTAACATAATAATATTATAATACATTATGCAATATTTATTTTATTCTTCTTTTTGTACATTGTTAAATATCTAAAATTATTTATTATTTTTCTTTTGCATTCATTTTAATTTATTTATGCATAAATGACCTTTTCTTCATTCCAGTTATTTTACAAAGCAAAACAAATTATTGCACGCAGAAATAATACGTGAACTGATTGAACGTGATCGAAATCATCCGTCAACAATTATGTGGTCATTAGCCAATGAACCAATGTCTAGTGATCTAGCAGCTCGATCATATTTCAGGTTAAATTCATCCACCTAAAATCCTCCTGGTTATCTTTTAATGCTAATGCTAAGTGATATGATAAAACGAACTTAAACACAATGCTAATTTCTATTCCATAAAAAGATAAATTTGAAAAGAATGTAACTATTTTAAATAATAGATGCATATGTATGCATTTTACCTCCATGAAAGTTTTGTTTATTGCAAATTAATGATCAAATTAATCTCAATGATTTGCGAGAAAAAAAAAAAGAAAAACTTTGTAAAGTTCAGACAAATAAATGGAAAGGAATTTAATTTATAATGAGTCAGTTTTAGTGAACTTATCAATTTGACACAAACAACTGATCCAACTCGACCTGTCACTGCTGTATTGGCAGCAAGTTTTGAATCTGATCAAATAGTAAGGCTTTGCTTCAGTTCAAGATAATGCAATCTCTGATGGAATCAAAACTCCGTTAACTAATTTCTTAATTGTTTAAATTACAGAACTAAGTTTTATTTTTCTTACGGTGTTGAAGTTAGCTTACAAAAAAGATGTTTAAGTATGTTAGCTGTTTGATATATTTAGGTCTGTTCCAGTTACAAATAAAAATTTTTAATATTATTTTAATTGAAACTAATAATTTTCAGGGTGATCTACTTGATATAATTTGCATTAATCGATATTTTGGTTGGTACATTGACACTGGTTATTTGGAAACCATTAATCATAGTTGGGTATTTGAAGTGAATAATTGGAAATTAACATATAATAAACCAATTATTGTATCGGAATATGGCGCAGAAGCATTACCAGGCTTAAATCAGGTAGACAAAGAAATTTGTGTGATTTTTTTCAAAAGCCAAAATGAATATGAAACCTTTCTGATTTCAAGATTTTTCGAGAACTGATAACAGTATGAAGAAATTATCATTGATTCCAATTAATTTATTTCGAATTATTTTTTTAAAGAATTTTGAAAAAATCACATACTTTTTTTTAAAATCACACTTTTTTATTTTTTTAAAGAATTTTCATTAATTTATTATTATTATTATTTTTTAAGGATCCAAGTCATGCCTTTAGTGAACAATATCAACAAGAACTATTGAAACAAACACACTATGCATTTGATATATTACGAAAAACTCATGCAATTACCGGTGAAATGATTTGGAATTTAGCTGATTTTATGACAGCTGATGGTTTGATCCTTTTTTTTTTATTTGTTTAGTAAACAGAAAAATGACATGTAAATAAAACAATAAGTATGATAAATTATCATCAAAGTAATAGTAAAGTTAGAAAGCAAGAAATTCAACTCATCACATTGTAAAATAATAGAAGAGGAAAATAAGAAATTAAACTAAGATTTCAAATTGTCAAAGGGAATATTTACACTGATTTTTTAATTTAATCTTTTTTGATTAGTTTTTTTATTGACTAATCTCTGTTTAATTTGACTAATCTCAAACAAAATAATCAAAATTCATTACAAACTACAATTAATTTAATTTAACTGAAGAAGAGTAAATTCATTACAGCTGTGACACGTGTAGTGGGTAATCATAAAGGAGTGTTGACACGTAATCGACAACCCAAAATGGCAGCGTATGTTCTGAAAAATCGCTATGAAAATTTGGAAAAAAATGAAAGTTTATGAATCTGAATGAAATTTTGATACTTTCTGAATTGATTAAACAGATAATCTGTACAATAATAGGAATATTTATAAATTTAAGCACTGATTATGAATTTGATGCAACTTTTAATGTTTCGATTACATTAATTAACTTTGTTGACAGTATGACACATTCGTCGTCAAATAATGCTGAACTCATTTTGCATCAAATATCTAAACACATATTGTCATTTAATATTTTTAATATATTTACCATTATATATTATTCTTCTAATGTTTCAAAATTTTAATTGAAATTATTAAAACTCAAACATTCAGTTATCTCAAACTTAGATAATTAAACTAATGAATATAACTCTTCCAACTTCACTGACCTAAGTTATACTTTTTCAAATTATATAAAAAAAAAAAAATTGAATCATACTTCAATTGAGTTAAAAAGCAGCTAATTTTATGATAGGCAAATTAAGCACCAAAAATAAATTAGCAATAAATGAGCAATGATCATGCTAGATTATTAATTTTAAGAGAAAAAGTGACAAATTAACTTTAATTATTTTTAGAAAATAATTTATTTTTATTTGCATTATTGTGGATTATAGTTGAGAATAACAATTCAACAGTAAAATAAAGAAAGAAAAATGTTGAATTACAGTAAGGAAATTACTTTTAAAATTAAACTTCTTTGTTTTTCTTCTTTTTAATTTCTTCTTTGACAATTATTTCTTAATGTCCTTTTTTTTTTTTTTAATTTTCAATACTTAAAAAGTTAACGATTCCATTTCATTTGAATAATCTCTTAACAGCTTTCAATACAAAAACAAATATTAAAGAAATAAAAATGCTTTAATTTATCTCTAAACATGACAGAAAGAGAGGGAGCAAGAAAGAGAGAGAGAGAGAGAGAGAGAGAAAGGGAAAGAGAAAGAGAGAAAGGACAATGCATCAGAAATGTTTGTTATCAGATAGAAATAATATAATCAAAAATGTAGGTAAAGAAGAAAAAACATAATTGCATGCAAATTTATATGTGAATTATAGCTGAAAATTTGCCAAAATAAGAAAGGAATCATTGTTGATTATCATTATCACTCGCATATGCTTCTTATCATATCAGATAACTCTAAAATTAACTATTCAGTTGATTATCATTATCACTCGCATATGCTTCTTATCATATCAGATAACTCTAAAATTAACTATTCAGTAATCATTTTATATGAGAACAGAAATCAGAAGTGATAATCCAATCAGTTGATTATCATTATCACTCGCATATGCTTCTTATCATATCAGATAACTCCAAAATTAACTATTCAGTAATCATTTTATATGAGAACAGAAATCAGAAGTGATAATCCAATCAGTTGATAACACTGTACATCTACAGCTCTTCCCTATTAATGAACAGCAAACCAGCAAGTGAACAAGGACATAAAATAGAACAAAGAAATAATTATTTCACATTTTCATATCCATTTCCTAATTATCGATCTCTCTTTTGGCAAGAAAACAAACAGAAAAGTTGGCAAAGATTCTTTCTAATAAGAGTAAACAATAAATAGTAAACAATAAATAGGTTTTACTTTAATTTCAATTATTGAAATAATGTGAAATATGGTAAGACAAACTTTAACTTAACTTTAACTAGCATATTCTTAAATAAACAAACAAACTTAAAGTTAGAATTGTAAAATATTACGGATGAAAGAGAACAGAAAAGAAAAAGATCAATTGCCCTGTTGAATCATTATCATTACCTAATTTATTGATTAATTACTTTCACCAATTTCGCATCCTTTTTTGCTTACCAAAAATTTTATTCAATGATGATAAAGATTTTCTTTTTTTTTTCTTTTTTTGAAAATTTTCTCGAATATATTCTAAGTTTCATTTGATAAAGAAAAAAAAAACTGAAATCGATAAGAAGAATGAACGTTGGAAGATAATTAGTTCACTGTCATTCTTGCATTATTTCTTCTATACTAAATAAATTCGTTACTGTTTGGGAAAATATTTGAAAATCTAAAAATCTAATCTATCTAATCACTTCCATAACTTTACTCCCTCCCATACAGAATTAAATTTATTTAATGTGCAGAATTAAAGTTAAATTTATTTAAACATACATAATGTACAGAAATTAAATTTTTTTTTAACATTTATTTTATTTAAATTTAGAATTAAATTCATTTAAATTCAACTATTTGATCAAACGGAATACTTAAGGAATATTACACTGTTTTTTTCTTCTTTTTTTCGACATGTAATCCTTCCCATACAGAATTAAAAACTAATTAAGTGGCATTTGTCAAATATTATTTTCTAATTCTTATCATTTCTTCAGAGATAAGAAAGAAAGATGACAAATCTGTGATATTACTTTTATCAAAAAATATTGTCCCCTTAAGTGCTATCAAATGGGTACAAATCGATAACCACCACCAATTCAAATGTGAGGAAATGTTTTCATTTCAGACAATTGTGATGGAAATATTTGCAAAAGACACAAAAAATGGACAAATGGAAAAGTTTTGGGAAAATCAAAGATTCAAAAAAAAAAAGAAAAACCTAAACGACTTTTTCCTTAATTGTCATTTTAGAAATAAAAAATGTTTCAAATAATTCAACAAAAAACTTCCGTTTTTATGATTTAAAACGATGGAATGACAATATTAAGCAAAACATGAAATATGTCTCTGTCGTATAGCCGATAAATTCAACCGGAAATGGAGAAATTAACTATGGAAGACAGATAACAGATGAACCGGTGATGACGCAGACGGGTAGTTGAGGTGTAGCAGGGGAAGATCGGGTGGAGATGGGTTGGGAGGTAACAAGGAAAGATCGGGTAGAGATGGGTTGGGAGGTAACAAGGAAAGATCGGGTAGAGATGGGTTGGGAGGTAGCAAGGAAAGATCGGATAGAAATGGATTGGAAGGTAGCACGAAGAGATCGGGTAGAGATGGGTTGGGAGGTAGCAAGGAAAGATCGGGTAGAGATGGGTTGGGAGGTAGCAAGGAAAGATCGGGTAGAGATGGGTTGGGTTGAGTGACAACAAAGCACTGAATAATTTGCAGTTGTAAATTTCTGTCTGAGAATCAAATTTCAAAAGGATCAAACAAAATAAATACATCACAAAATTCTACTACTGAGAATGCAGCATGTGTTCGTTATAATTTTCTTTTAATTAAATGCAATTATGAAATTGGAAAAAACTAAATTACCTTCAAAATAATTCCTAAAATATCAACCATGATCAGAATAAAATTTTAGGAAATAAATCTAGCATTGCTCATTATTTAAAACTAGAAAATTCAGTCTTTACAAATATTTGAAATTTGCGATCAAATCAGTTGTCGTTCTAATTCTTGGCAGTTTAAATTTGCGATCTAACTTTTACATACAAAATTTCGATCGTTCTTCTGTGAATGCATACATTCTTTTATTGAAAGAAAAAAAAAAAAAAACTATCTTAGTTAAACACTTTGAAATTTTTGAAATGAATGGTCAAATTTTATAATTTACAATTACTGAAAGGATTTTAAAACTGAAAAGTTCGAAGATGAAATAATTTAAATAGCTACCCGTTAAACAGTATTAAATTAAATGATTAGCGATATGACAGTATAATAATATAAAGCTTAAAATTAATTTAGGTCATAAATCATTTCACTAGTAAATCAATAACCAATATTTTCACAGACACAAAATCCCAGTAAGTTTAATAGCTATTTGATCAATTTTTTGGTATTTGCCTTTTCATACATCATTTCTTGAAATTGGTGTAAATCAAAAAATTGTTTGACTTCCGAGTTTATACTGAATTGGATGGATGGAGATCAAATGACCTAAAATTAAGAATTGAATTCGATCTATTTCAAACAGATATATTATTAGTTTATTTGCGCCCTATAAATGCTAAAAGCTTCCCTGCTTTCCCTGCTGCTAATCCGTCTCCCAAATATAGCAAAGCAAGAAGGAATGGATTTGCACATACATAATTGAGTGGGCGGTATTGTCTGAGTTATCGAAGATTGGAAGTATTAGTCATTGTGATGGCTGCTTGTTGCGCACATTTGGGTGGGCGGTTTTGTCGCATATTGTTAATAATTTGAATTACAGAGGAGCGCTTACGTGTAAAAGGAGGAAAAATTACTGCAATGCCACCGGGAGAGAGAAAAGACTCCGCGACATGTCTGCACGCATTAGCAGGATGGGCGCTTTTGAAATTCATAGTGGGCGCTTATTGCAATTGCTTTCTTCCACAGCGATAAATTTACGAATTGTCTTTCAGTCAATTGCAATTATTGATTGCTTATTGTCTTTGATCTTTGGACTGTCTCCACTTCCTCTTTGACATTCATTTCAAAAGTTTCCACTCACATTGTATATGCAAGTTCTTTGTTGGGTTGGTTTGCTAATGGAAAGATGGCTGAATGTATCGATTGTAGGTCGATGTAAGGCGGAAGTGTCACAGTTTGGTTTAGTTCAGCTTACAGACAATATTCCTTTTCCTGTCGCAGTTCTTTGGCATAGAATTTAAACGGCGTAGTGGTTGCTTTTATTGAATTTTAATTATGTCTTTTTGATTATTTTTTTTTTTTGCTAATAATAAGCTTTAAAGTTTTTATGTTTAGATTTCAAAGAGGTGGACATTTATTACAATTATCAATTGTTAATTAAGTTTTAGTAATTTAACAGCACAAGAAAATATGACATTTAGATTTTTTATACTTTTCATCTGTGAAGTTTTTATTTCGATGCCTACTTTTTCAATTCGAAATTGCCAAAGGTTTAACAATTTGAAATTCTTTCGTAGTCGAATGAATCTCTCCATTTCATTTCTTCCTTCTTTTGCATTGTTTATTTATTTGTTTGCTACTCTTTTTATGTGTTGTCGCACTCAATTCTGACTTTTTGTTGTTTATAAAAGTTAAATTGGAAAAGTGCGCCTTTGACAGAACACATCGACAATTAAGCAATTTACTAAGAATCATTCCATGACTTGAAGGAATCAT